TCCTCCGGCCGAAGGAGGTGATCTTTTCGGGATTTTGTGAACCACGACACCTTTTACAAGTTCGGTGGCCCTTGTACGGCTGCAGGACCTTCTGGTGGAACGTGCCCGTCCGACACTAGGTCGGAAGACTTTGTGGCTCAGATCTCTGAGCAGGTTTTGGTTTTGGCCAAGGAGGCAGCGAGCCTTTGGAGAGACTGGGGTTTTCTGGTCCAGGTACCCGTTTGCTTGGGGAAGCGTGTGAGTGAACTTTGGGAGGATGGCTACGGGACCGGCAGCAGTGCCGGGCGAGACTGACGAGCCCAGGCGCAGAACTTCGCCGACCGCGCCCTCATCGCCGATCAGGCCCGGTCCCCTCGAGATCCTCCTCGATCCTTATGGCGACGGTCTGGATGGAAGCGGTGCGGCTCCAGGTACGCTGCCTGGTGGCCGAAAGTTCGTGGACTATCGCATGGAGCCGGCCCCAGTGTGGGATGGTGAAACGCCGGAGTTGAAGTACCGGGAGTATGCCCAAAATCTTCGGCTTTGGCTGGTGGAAGCTGTGGAGCGCCTCCCTGGCGCACTGGTGGGGAAGCGCATCATTGATGGGATTCCGTTTGGGAGCAGGCTGGCGGCCCTCTTGGCTCACCTGACGGTTGAGGACATAACGGCCGAGAAGGGCTACGAGAAGATAGTGGGCATCATCGAGGACGCTCACGATTACCTTCACGACGCCAAGCTGGAGCAGGCCTTCGAGATGGCGATGTCGCCGCCGGGCCGACCAGTCCTTGAGCGGCTTTGTGGCGACGAAGAAGGCCTCGTTTGGGGAGTTAAAGCGGCAAGGCCTGGATCTGTTGAGCAGCCCGGCGGGAAGCCACTTGCTGGGCCACTTGCTCCTCAAGCAAGGGAACTTCAGCGAGGACCAGAAGCAGAGGATCAAGGTCCTGACCGACGGCTCTATCGACTTTCCGAAGGTGGAGCAGGCGATCCGGAAGCTGTTTGGAGATACTGTTGACGACCCGGCGGCGATGGCTGCGGCGAGGTCCCGGTCTTTCTGGCAGGAAGGAGACGAGGCTGAGGATGATGACGGCGGCTACGCTGATGGTGGCTATGATGCCGAGCTCTGGCCACCAGACCTTCTACGAGGACCAGGCCTACGATGAGGAGCCCGACTTGTTCGAGGACTTGCTGGAGGCCGACGAGGGTGGCTCCGTCTATGTGTGCGTTGAGGAACCTTTGCCAAGCCTTATGGATGAAGACCAGGCCCTGCAGTACGCCGGCGACCTTCTTTCCTTTGTCTACGGCGAGACCTCAGACAGGTGGCAGCGCAAGGGCAAGGGAAAGGGCAAGAGCAAGGCCAAGGGCAAAGGCAAGGGGAAAGAGAAAGGTGCCAAGGGAAAGCACAAGGGCTTTGGAATATATGGCACCCAGATGTCTTACCCGGAGCACCGACGAGCACTTCAGCAGGCTCGGACCGATCGAGGACACAGTCGTCCGCCGAGCTTCCCGGGCCCACCTCGGGCACGGGCTTCCCTTGAGGATATCAAGGCCCGGACCCGATGTCATCAGTGCAAACAGATCGGGCATTGGTCTCGAGAGTGCCCCCAAAGGCAGGCGAGGCCGCGATCACCGTCTCCGAGCCAGCCGGCCCCGAGGGTGTCAACGAGCCACTTCTTTATGGGCGACCCGGTGACTGTTGCCTCGGCTGAGGGAGAGATTTTCCTTAGCAGCTCGATTGAAGAGCCCCATGCTTTTGTTGGTTTTGTTCAGAATGGCGTCAGCCTGGACCACCAGTGCCAGGTGTTCCGCCCTCTGACTCTGCTGTCGGAGGAATACATGTCTGAGGTGCTCTTGAGTTACACGTTTGCTAGCAGCAATGATGAGTCGGAGGGTTGTGCGTTGGTTGATACCGCAGCTCAGCATGGACTGATTGGAGAGCAGACTTTGCACAAGCATGACATGTACCTCCAGAAGCATCACAACAAGTTGAGGGTGCAGATCACAGATGAGACTGGGGGAACTGTGCGTGGAGTTTGTGGTTCTGAGCAAGTCACCAAGGTAGCGTACATACCCATCGGGATTGCCGGGAGACCAGGTGTGCTTCGAGTTCAGGTTGTTCCTGGGGTGATTCCGTGCCTGATTCCCGCGTACCTTCTGACAGATGCAGGGGCCATCATAGATATGCCGGGGTCCCGAGTCTACTACACTTCTGTCAGTGCAGTGCAACGAATGAGACGTCGATCCACAGGACACATGGAAGTGAGCTTGTGCGAGTTTGAGTCGAAATGGGAGATCCCGGCAACATATTCCTTCATCAAGAGTGAGATTTGGGGTGCCCCTCAGCTCCCTTCGCATTCGCTTTCGGTTTTTGATGGAGCGGGACAGGCTGCCGCTGTTCCTTCGGCGATGGCGGCGCTGTGTACTGCGCTACTTCTTGGCTATGGCTACTCAAGCAGCTGTGGCCTTGGAGCAAATTATCTCGCAACCGCAATTGCGCAGGGCCCGCAAGCTAGCAGCGAGACGAGAAGCTTTGGAGCGAAGGGCCCTTCTACTTCAACGCGAAGAACAGGCGCTCCTGGCCGCTACCCCGGTGGACCGTGCTCCGGTGAGGGTCTTGGTGGCGAACGAAGAGCATACCGAACAACGCCGCCCCAAGGTGGAACACCGCGGCCGCTCCAAGTACCTCACACCGATCCTGAGGAGTTCGCCTACTTGTCAGCATGTGGAGACCAAGCACGGAGCGAACTCAGACTGGAGCTGGGTGAGATGCACCAAGTGCGGGCTGACCGAGCAAGTTCCCAAGATGAGTTTGGAAAAGATGAATGTATGGAACACGGTGCTCATCTTCCAGAAGTCCGACTACCTCACCCCCGACGAGAAGAAGAAGGACAAGGAGGAGAAGCGCACGGCAAAGCAGAATCCCGGATCGGTGGCAACCACAATGGCCCCAAGGACTCCTGCGACGAGCTCGAATTTGCCACATGTGAGGCTCCAGAACGTGAAGATCGAGATTGGAACGCCAATGTCGGTGCGTTCGGGAGCATGAGGAATACGGGACGAGTCGGACCTGGAGCCGATTGGGTCGTTGACCGAGGACGAGATGCAGCTATGGCGCCGAGATGCGATGTCGGTCCCCGACCTCGAGCCTCCCTCTCTCTTCCAGCGATGTCCTCACTGCCAGTTTGGGGGAATTCATCTGATGAAGTGTGTGGAGGAGAACCGCCTGATGTGGAGATGCATGGGCGGCCGTCTCGACTGCCCGTACATTTGGCGGGAGTATGGAGACCAGCTGGTGGTGGCCACGGGAGTTCGACTGTGTGTGAAGTGTCATCGTGGCGAGCTGAAGGTGATCACCCACCAGAACCGACAGGCGCTCCTTTGCCCCCAGTGCAGAGATCTGACGCTGATGTCAGAGTGTAAGGAGGTGATGGAGATGCATCAGAGGCAAGGAGGCTACAACCCAGTGCTGATGCACCCTCCGGCCTGAATGAAGCAGATGGTTTCAAGTTTCTTGGGTGGTTCAAAGAGCCAAGGCTGGAGGAGAAGCTGCGTGGCCTCGACAAGGTGCTTTCGTCGATTAAGCCTCAAAACTCGGTGGTGTTGGAGTTCACGGGCACTTCGGTGCCATCCCAGGTACCTGTGAGATGCCGGTGCCCACTTGGGGCGCGGGTGGTGGCTACTTCGCCAGCTCCCGGACTTTGGAATGTGCTCCAGATTGATGCCACCGGCCGTGCTGAATATGACCTCGGTGCCCGTGCATCCGTCTATGTGATCCAGGAGTTCTCTGAGGACTTTGCAACCTACCTCCAGGACCAGGAGTTTGAACCGATTGAGGTGACTCTGGATCGAAGGGAGAAAAAGAAGCTGGGTGCTGCTCTGGATCATGTTCTTGGGAGCACGGAGCAGTTCTTTGAGATGTGCGAGGAGTATCCTGGCATGGATGGCTTGCCTGGAGATAGCCAAGGCAGCTGTCAAGTCTTTGGGACTGAGGAAGAAGCCGACCAAGACGATGGATTTGGTAGCCAACCACCTCATTTACTACAACCACTTGCGGCCGCAGCCGGGCTGGATCTGGATGAGATCCGGGCTCAGCGAAAGTATCGATGTCTTCCTGTGGATCTGGAGCTGACCGTACTCTGCAGAGAACTTAAGGAGTCCCAGGCCGAGGAGTCGTGGCTTGATCACCATGGCCAGGTGATGTTCGTGAGCCTTCTTCCTCGGCGAGCGCTACTGCCCTCCGTGGGCCCTGGCGGTCGAACGCAGCGTTGGACTGCGGTGTTGGTGAAGCCTGGAGAATGGAAGTGGTTGGAGCTGGGTGCCAGTGGTCCATGGCACGAGGAAGTTCGAGAACATGGTGCGTTGGTGGTGATTTACCGGTGGCCTGAATACTCCGAGACCTTTGCCACCTCGTATGACCTAACGGACAAGGAGAAGGCCGACGTGCTTCGTTGTCATGTGAACCTCGGACATCCTCATCCGCGGGAGTTTGTGCGGCTCCTCAAAGCCGCCGGATCACGGCATGATGTGGTTCAGTATGTTCTGCGTGAGTTCGAGTGGATTTTAACGTCATTGTGGGGGTGGACCTCCTGTTTGTACACGGGCTTGGCCGTCGAGCAGAACATCCAGTTCTTAACATTAACATTACGTGCCACGGTACCTTGTACAGCACGTTTGGCCTGATCGACCCCTTGCAGCGTTCTTTGAGGGTGACCTGGTTGGGATTCACCCGTTTGTGGGCTGCGCTGGCGTCGTCTTGTTAGACGTGGATGACTTTGCCCAGGGCGGCAACGAAAGGCACCAGAAGCTGATGCAGCAGTTTAAGGAGCGTTTCCGCTTTGGAAAGGGGAGGTGCTTGTATGGTGGCCATGGCGAGTACCTCGGGCGGACTGTTCGTCAACGAGAGGACTTTGAGGTGAGGATTGACATGCAGCGGTACATCGAGGAGAAGCTTCGCCCCGTCACCCTCCCTCGTGAACGAATGCGCCAGGGTGACGACGCTGTTCTTACTGAAAAGGAGGTGACGATGCTCCGTGGCGCTGGAGGATCCCTGCTGTGGGTCGGAAAGGAGTGCCGTCCTGATGTGGCAGCAGCTTGCGCCATGAGTATGTCTTGGGGATCCGCCGGTCCTACCATCAAGCACATCAAGGCGGTCAACAAGACGATCAACGAGTTGAAGAAGACTTCGGACGTGTACCTCCGCATCCTCCCTGTGCCCCTGGCCAACGGCATCTGGGTGTCGATATCAGATGCCTCGGTTGCGAATGATGATGAGACCAGCCAGGGTGGTTTCTTGATTGCCTTTGCGGACAAGGCAATCAAAGATGGCGGCCTGCACGACTTCAGTGTCAACAGTTGGAAGAGCCACCGTGTGAGAAGGGTGGTGAAAGCTTCCTTGGGCAGTGAGGCCCTGGCCATGGATGATGGCCTTGCGGAGCTGGAGTGGATCCGCGCCCTCTACACCGAGGCGGTTGTTCCGAACTCAACGGTGCTCGATGGCACGCGCTTTGGTGATGATGAGTCAGTGGCCATCGTGCGCCAGTGCGATCCTCAGGACCCGACAATCCTGGTCACCGATGCTCGAGCTCTTTACGACCTCTTCCATCGTCGGAGTGGAGCTGCTGGTTTGTGCCGGAGGGCACAGATCGATGTGTCGGTGATGTCTTCGTCGGCGAAGGCTCTACGAGCGGAGGTGCACTGGCTGCCCGGCAAGTACATGCTGGCGGATGCTCTTACGAAGCGGCTTGGAAACTCTGCGCTAGTTCGAAAGGTTTTGTCTCTGGGCAAATATGCTCTCAAGAGAGACGGCTTAGAGTTGCTCCTAGACCTGGAGGCTCCCCCTGATGGATGTGATGCGTTTGACTGTCAGCCCAGGTCTAGCTAACCTTTCGGTTGTGTGTGCACATCAGAGGGGAGTGTTCAGCCAGAGCATGTGCCGTTGGACGACCGTTTGCACCGCAGGCGCCTTGAGTCCAGGAAAAAGTTAGAGCGGCTGTCCCTCCAGTTGTTACGGCATTGCAAAAGTATTCTAAAACTACTAAAAAGTAACAAGTAGCCAAAATCTAGCTCAGGGCTACAACTCTAAAGGGTTGAGTGGGGCTGCGTGGGGCCGAGTAGGGCCGGGTGGGTTTGAGGAGGGGCCGGGCAGGCATTGGGGTCGCATTAAAG